GTGTAGAAGAATGAAACTAGACCCATACCTCTTGCCATATACCAAAACCAACTGAAAATGCATTAAAGGCTTAAATGTAAGATCTGAAACTATAAAACTCCTAGAGGAAACACTTCAAGATATAGGACTGGGCAAAGACTTTATGAATAAGACCCCAAAAGCACAGGCAATGAGAAAAAATAAACAAATGAGATTATATCAAACTAAAGAGCTTCTGCACTGTTGCTTTGCGTTGCTTTGCCCCCAACGGATTTGTCACCCTACTTCCCCTGGGTGACAGAGATGAAAGGATTACTCAAAGCCCATCTCTACTGAGCAGTGAGAGGCCCCGAAGTGGTTAATCTCTCTTTGAGACCCTCAAGAGAGAGGCATCCTTTCCTTGGGAAATTAATGCCGAATTGGGGTTCTCTTCCTGCATTTATTTTTCAGACCAGGAAGTTACAGGAAGAGAACAAAGGTGGGGTTATAGTTTAACAGTATAGGCTGGTAACTTTCAGTGAAACAAACCAGATGACATTCCAGTAAGGCAATTAAGTGGTCCTATCAACAACAGTTTGATCTTAGCAAACATTCCTTCTTAACAGCACTTTCTCAGTATCTTTACACAACCATCAGTAACTAGTCTGTCTTTGAGCCAGCAACCTGCTGTGCCACAATTCTTATCTTACAACAGGGACTTATACCCTGAGGGAAATTTCCAGTCCTCTGCAAGGTCAGTATTTGAAACTGCAAGGCTTTGGAAAACCAGGCCCTGTGAAGTACATATGCTTTTTATTATATTCCACACTGCACAGAAAAGGAAACAATCAACAGAGTGAAAAGACAACTTCAGAATTTTGAAAACTATGCATCCAACAAGGGATGAATATCCAGAATATACAAGCAACTAAAATTAATTTTTAAAAATAATCCAATTTAAAAATCGGCAAAAGTGTTAAATACACATTTCTCAAAAAAAAAAAAAAAAGATATACAAATGGCCAGCAAGTACATGAAAGAATCCTCAGTATCACAAATCATCAGGGAAATACCAACCAAAATCACTTTGAGATATCATCTTACCCCAGTTAGACTGGCTATTATCAAAAAGACAGAGAATAACAAATGCTGATGAGGATGCAGAGAAAGGGTAATCCTTCTACACTGTTAGTAGGACTGTAAATTAGTACAGCCATTATGGAAAACAGTATGGAGGTTTGTCAAACAACTACAAATAGAACTACCATATGATCCAGCAATCCCAGTGCTGGATATATACCCAAAGAAATGGAAATCATCATGTTGAAGGGATACCTGCACTCCCGTTTATCACAGCTCCATTTACAATAGCCAAGCTATGGAACCAACCTAAATGTCCATCAATGGACAACTAGATAAGGAAAATGTGGTATATATACACAATGAAATACTACTCAGCCATAAAAAAGAATGAAATTCTGCCATTTGCAGCAACATGGATGAACTTAGAGAAAATTATGTTAAGTGAAATAAGCCAGGCACAGAGAAATTCCCCATGTCCTCACTCGTAAGTGAAAGCTAAAAATTAAATAAATAAGAACGAAAAAGAAAAAAAGAAACAACAATCACAATAATACACTGAACTTTCAGAAGATGAAAACAGAGCTAGGCTTACTAGAGGTGGGAAAGGGGAAGGGGGGGTCAGCAATAAACTGGTTATTGGACACAAAAAAAGAATGATTACATATGTTAATGATGAATAAGCTAATTATCCTTATTTGACCATCACATATTGATAGTCAATTCTACCCCACAAATATGTAGAAGTTTCAATAAAAAATAAATTTAGAAAAAATTTTTGAAAGTCTTCTACACATTATAAATCCCTGTACAAATACAAGTTACTTGCCTGAAAGAGATTTATGGTTGAGAAAAGCAATAGCCCTGGAGACTAATCATTAGAGCTTTTCTATGAGTTCTGCAGTCATAAAGCAAGTCACTACACAACTCTAAACCCTCACTTTAAAGGAGGTGAAATATATGATCTCTTACAGTCAAAGTCTTGACATTCCATTTTTATGAAATGGAGGGGATACCAATATAAGGTTGATGTCAAAGGAAATTTTTTTTTCCTTCACCAGCCTTGCCTGGAAGAAATGATATTCATGATTTTCCCTTCTACTCAGGGCTGTGTTGTTTCTCTTGATGTAGTGTCAGTCCAAGGGGTAACACTGTCTACATTAAATGGATCTTATATGGATTTTTGTGTGTATGTGTGTGGCTGGCCAGTACAGAGCTCAAACCCTGGACCTGGGTGTTATTAGCACCACACTCTAACCAACTGAGCTAACCAGCCAGCCAAATCTTGTACAGATTTTAAAAGATAATGTCCAATTTAGACCAAGTGCTTAATGTGTTTGCTACCTCTCCCCTTCTTCTTTTCCACAGCCTGCAACTAACCCTGTCTAGCTAAGAGGATTGGAAACTTAAAGGAAATCTGACCGCAGTCTCTCCAGGCTCACATTTCTAATGAGGATCTGCGGAGGGTCTAGAGTTGTGAGGTGACTTGCTTATGCTGCAGAATTCATGGTAGTCTCCCAGGCCCTCGCTTGTTGCTTCCCAGCAGTTGGTGCTGAGAATTACAATTTGGTGCATACAACCCCCGAACTACCACTACCACCACCAAAAGGGAGAAAGAGTCCTAATTCTGGTGGACATAGCATGTGTACATATTTAAAGAGGCTCTTTCTTGTTCTCATTCTCATGGTCTTTCAACAACTCAACCTCAGATTCTGTGATTTTGCCTGGTGAACTGCAGTCCTAGACACCATAGTTTCCTGACACTTTTTGGCCCAGGGAATAGAAACTAAGAACACCAATTTCCTGACTTCTTCCCACAACCCCTTGCCCATCCTAGCATATCTCCATCATTCTCATGGTCTTTCAACAACTCAACCTCAGATTCTGTGATTTTGCCTGGTGAACTGCAGCCCTAGACACCATAGTTTCCTGACACTTTTTGGCCCAGGGAATAGAAACTAAGAAAACCAATTTCCTGACTTCTTCCCACAACCCCTTGCCCATCCTAGCATATCTCCATTCATGTTATTGCACTCCCTATTCCAAATGGTTAATTTCAAAGCAAAACATTAAAACTCAAATTTTATTATAATACATCTTGCATTACATTTGAATACTAAACAGTTGAATATATACTCAAAATTAGTTACCAAAAGTTATTTACTAAACAAGATTTTTACCAAAAATGTTAGGGTCGGGAAAAAAAAAACACTAATAAAAAGTACTCCAAAATGTTAACAATGTTTCCATAGGTAATGGGATTGTGGGTGATATATACTTTCTCATTTTCTGTATTATCAATATTTACAATTAATTCACAATCAGGAAAAAATATTAAATGATATTTAAGACATTTAATCTGATTGTCACCTATAAGAAAAGGCAACTCACTATCCATTTGAAAGATTCCTTTAGACTTCTGATTGACCTTGCTCAATGATAACTGCCCAACCTTTGGATGCAAAGACAGTCCTCCCAATTTCACTTCCCCTAGTACTCACAACAGCTGTGATCACCAAGTCTTCTTTAGAAATGACATGTTCTTAGGTATTAATTGCCCTCAGCAATTGTGGGTTAGTTAAAATTTCCAATTAAAAAGTAGCAAAGTATAGTTCTGATGAATCTGAGGGTACCAACAAACAAATAATTCAACAAATATGTACTGCCCTCAAGTAGTTTCAGTTCTGCGAGCCTGGTGATGAGAGGATGGGGCAGGGAGTGTGGAATAATGAAGCCTGAGAAGGCAGACCTCCCATCACTGTGTTCCTGTAAGCTTCCCATTTCCTAGCCTCCAATATGTATTCTTTCCTTGGTGTACATACGTGTATGTTTCCATAACACACCAGAGTGTTCCACCACACTAATTCTGAGTACTTCAAGGTCTTGTAGGTAATGCTCGGTCTGAGATAGGCCACCCAAGTCAGTGATTGTAAGTAGCAAGAGAGAAACCAACACATGTTCTAGATTCTGAGCCAGAGTCTGTGACAACTAATTCTTGCTGGAGAGAAGAGCCTTGATTAAGGGATGTCTCCAGATCCTCTCTTCATGCCATTGCAAGTGTTATAACCTCTGCCTGTAATGTTCCTCTTCTCCCCTGACCTTGACCTGGCTAACTTTTGCCTTTTAAGTCTCAGCTGAGGTGGCATTACATCCAGAAAGTCTTCAGTGACTCATAGATCAGGTTAGGTACCCTTGCCTTGTACTTCGTGAACCCTGGATTTATCCTACCAAAGTACTTATCATACTTTACTGTAATTACCTGTTTAGTAAATACATATATCCCATTAGCCCTTGGCTCTGGGAAGTCAATTACCATCTGCCCCAACAGCTAGCACATAGCAGGTGCTCAATAAATAAGTAGACCTGAATTGACCTCAGCAGGAAGTTCAGGGCTGAGGAAAGAACTGGCAAGGGGGTAAAATGAGCCACCATTCCTCAGATACTATGAAACTGCCTCAGATACTATCATACTGATCCAGGGCACAATTCAACATTTCACAACCTCACAGTTCAACATTTTGGACAGCTGAATAACTCTCAGCAAGTGCCACCACCTGCCAAATACACAAATGCTCTTGCTGTGCAGGGATCCTTGCCATCTTATAAGGGGCTCTTTAAGGATCTCTACCCCAATTCTGGACTTACTGTGAAGGTACCCAGGGCAGTTATACCTGGTTTGGCAGTGGGGTGAACAGGATATCGATGAGAGTCCTCATCCAGAAATGGGTTAGGCATGTCTAGGAAATGACAACCATTCTTCTGGGAGAGCACCTGGGTAAAAATTTTCTTCCATGCAATACTTCAACAATCATCAAACATCTTTGCGTGGATCTCCTCTTACAGTATTGAACTGGGCTATAAGGATAGAAACCCTGATCTCAGAAAACTTCTATCTTCTGCAGAGTCTCACCCCCAAAGTGAATTCCCTGCATTTCACAATTGTACAACTCTTGCCCACAGAGTTAAACTCTGGTGTGTGTTCTCTGATGCTGCATGAGGCCTGACCTATGCCTAAATGTTTTCCTGCATTCACTACATTCATAAGGCTTCTCCCCAGTGTGGATTCTCTGGTGCTGGGTGAGAGCTGAGCTCTGATTGAAGGATTTTCCACATTCATTACATTCATAAGGTTTCTCTCCAGTGTGAATTCTTTGATGTTCAATAAGGATAGAGCTCCTACCAAAAGCCTTTCCACATTCAATACATTCATAGCCTTTATCTCCAGTGTGAATTTTCTTATGTTGAATAAGGGCTGAGCTGCGGCTGAAGGCTTTCCCACATTCACCGCATTCGTAAGGTTTCTCTCCAGTGTGAATTCTCCGATGCCTAATGAGCTCTGAGCTGCCCCTGAAAGCTCTTCCACATTCACAACATTCATAGGGTTTTTCACCACTATGAATTCTCTGATGTCTAACAAGGTCTGAGCTCAAACTGAAGGCTTTGCCACATTCTTTACATGCATATGGTCTCTCTCCAGTATGAATTCTCTGATGTCTAATCAGCTTTGAGCTCTGGCAAAAGGCTTTTCCACAGTCAAAGCACTCATACAGCTTTTCCCCAGTAAGCATTCTCTGTCGTGGAATATCATTTGAGTTCAGACTGAGACTTCCTTCACTTTCATTACATTCAAGGACACTCTGTTCTGTGGGGGTTTTCAGGTTGAAGGTTGCTAGACTGAAATGTCTTTCCTGGGAAGGAAGCTGACTCATTTTGTTCCTTGCAGCACTTCCCTTTTGCTTCTCAGGGTTGTCCAGACCGCCCGAAGCTTTTTCAACTATCTGTTCTGAAGGAGGGAAGCTGACTCATTTTGTTCCTTGCAGCACTTCCCTTTTGCTTCTCAGGGTTGTCCAGACCTCCCAAAGCTTTTTCAACTATCAGTTCTGAAGGATTTTCACCAGGAAGTCTTCCTGGGGATATCATAGCTGCTGAAGCTACACATTCAATAATTTCCTGCTTTGCTGACAACACGTTGTTGGCCACCATCTTGCCATCTACAAATGTGAATAGAAAATGCAAGTGTCATTTACTCCCTGTGTTGGAAGAAAGAAAACTGTGGTAGAAGGAACAGAAAATAAACCAAATGAAAATACGTGGAAAAGTTATTAAAACTAGCTTCCCAATCTGGAAGTGGCCTGAGGTAGTGAGAGGCGGACCCCCAGACAAGAAGGTAGAAAAAGAATGAGAGTCAGTGTTGGAGAGGTGGGAAGGTGAACAGGGAAAGACACTAGTTAGAGGAAATGGTGACAAATAGGAGTACTGTTGAGAAACCAGGAAGCTAGGAGATAATTGTGGGTTAGAGGAGAAGATACATTTTTAGGTAATGAGGGAAAAGAAAAGAGGTGATAAAGAATTATCAGAATTAAAAAAAAAAAAAAAGAATGTCTAAGAGTCCTGAATCAGTGGTGCTTCTAGCAAAGCAGGAAAGCAGAAGATATGTTTAGGAAATGCTTTTGGGGTTAGTATTGAACAGAGGTAGGTGGACAGGACCTAGAAAGCATTAACGCAGTTGCAGATTCTGGCAGAATGAACCAAATAATTACAAGCAAATAGAACAAGACACACAGAGCATGAGAAAAGGAATATTGTGAGTTCTTGACTCATTCTGGGGTCAGGTGAGAGTCAAAGGTTCACCTTACTCCTGTGTAAATGGTCAAAGGAAGTAGATGGAAACAACTGGTAGATGTGATGCCCAGAGCCCAAACTTCCAGCTCTCAAATAACATGCCCATATTATTTTTAGATTTCTAGTAACTCATTACAGGACACTACCAGTGATAGATGATATAACTTGAATTACTTAGAGAGAGGGAAAATCTGAAACACTGTTAAGTTACTTTCATCCTCCCAAAAGTCCTTTAAACTTAAATGTATCTTACATATCAGCAAACAAAGGCTCTGAGAGGCTACACAAGGCCATAGAATCAGTAATCAGTAAACAAAGATGCTTAACATTAGAGCTCTCTGTGTTTCCCCTATGTTATCTGCCTCCCCTACTGGAAGGAAACAGGGCCATAGTTGTGCTGATGCAAAAATAGTTTAAAAATCATTTTAATTTGACTTTGGAAAAGTCATATGTTTTTATTTGAAAATAAATACTTCTTTTTGTTTTTCTTTGAGGTCACAACACTTCAAATACAATAAAGTGTCACAGTAAATATCTGACAAAAGCAAAGAGCTGTCTAGCTTCCCTTTTGCCCATTCTTTACCAGAAATTAGAGATGGATAACACTGCCTCATAGATTAGGGATGAACGATAAAATTTACACTGTCTTTGGATTTTTTTATAGAAATTCAAATTATTCAAGGCTGTGCTGCTTTGAAAAGAAAACAATTATGAAAAATATTCTAGCATATAATAGAGGCAGAAAAGTAATAAGCACCAAACAACCTAATGAGAAACTGACAACCTAACGAGAAATTTTCTGAAAGTAGTAAATAGGTCAAACTATAAAAATGATAAATTATAAAGTATATAAAGTGACAATACAATTATGTGGGGACAAAAATTAATGCCTGTGAATATCAGAAAAGCAATGTAATTTATAGGATTTAAAATACCTCTTCAAATTCTATAACTACATGAAGTCAAATTATGAGACCAGAGAAAAACTTTGACCTTAGATGTACAGATCAGGAAAACATCAAGATTTTCTTTTTAATTTTTATGCCAAAAAAAGTCAGAATAAACAGTTAACTGGAGTAATTCCTAGAAATGACAAGTAGAGATTAAATGTAGAATAATAGTCACTAGAGTATTTAAAAAGATTGGCATAGAGATATAATTCAAAGGATCCATGGGCCGGCCCGGTGGCGCACTGGATAGTGCACCTGCTTGGGAAGCGCGGCAGCGCTCCCGTCCGAGGGTTCGGATCCCACGTACAGACCGGCTCCCGCTCACTGGCTGAGCGAGGCGCGGGAGCAATGCCGAGGCTTGCGATCCCGCCGCCGGTCCCCGGTCCGGTACGGGGGCAGCACTGAGGGTTGCGATCCGTTGCCGGACACGCAAAAAAGACAAAAAAAAAAAGAAAGGATCCAATTAAAATCTTCCAAGAATGAAAACTAATTTGCAATCAAGCCCAAAGCCTGGAGGCTGGAGGGTATGGTACAGATTATAGGAGGCTCTTTGGAGAAGAAATAAGCCATATGTTTCTCTGTTAGAAGAGCTCTTCTCTTTAACATGCCCCCTGTTATTTCTACCTGTTCAGTGACCCGTTTGATCTAAAATCCTTTTAACTAGGGATGTGTCCTTTAATTGCACATTGACAAATAAGCTTTTAGCCTTAATACTATGCAGATGATGCTCCACTGCCCACCCACACCCCGTTTACCAATATGGTGCCTCCTTCCCTCAGCTGTTGTGAGTGTTGGCTCTGCCTATTGTCTGAATGTTTGTGTCCCCCCAAAATTCACATGTTGAAATCCTAACCCCCAAGGTGATGGTGTTAGGAGGGGCCTTTGGGGAGGTAATTAGGTCATAAGAGCTGCCCTTATTAAAATAGGCCCAAGAGAGCTCATTTTGCCCCTTCTACCATGTGAGGACACAGTGAGGAGGTACCTTCTATGAGAAAGCAGGCCCTCACCAAACACTAAATCTGGCGGCCCCTTGATCTTAGACTTATCAGCCTCCAAAACTGTCAGAAATAATTTCTGATTTTTTTTGGGGGGGGGGTGGGTTCTGACCGGTATGGGAGTTGTAACCCTCGGCATGGTGTTGTCCGCACCACACTCAGCCAGTGAGCGCACCGGCCATCCCTATAACAGGATCTGAACCAGCAGCCTCAGCGCTACCAGTGCCGCACTCTCCCGAGTGAGCCACGGGGCCGGCCCAAATTTCTGTTGTTTAAACTACCCAGTTTATGGTATTGTTACAGTGACCTGAACTGATTAAGATGGCTCCTAACTACCCACAGCTGCCCCCTCTCTGGAGTATGGCCCTGGCTAAAGATCCACCAGACCCAGGAATTTACTTCCACCCTCACCTCCCCACTCCTACCTCAAGAAGAGACAACAATGCAGTGCAATTATGCTCCTGGGGATCCCCTAAGCCTCTAAGGCTCAGACCAAGGTTAGGTTTTCCCTGAAACCACATCATTGCTTTCTCTTTTCCCTTCCTAGTCCTGCTTTTCTTCATTACACATTTCTCCTGAAGAGCATGCCCTCAATAAATCACCTTCACCCAAATCACCATCTCAGACTCTTCTTCTAGCAAGGCATACTGTTAGACTAGTGAAGAACCTACAGGAAAATTATAACCCAAGGTTATAAATGTTTCATGGTGACTCTTACAATCGTATTGAGGTACATCCCTCCAGTGATTTCAACCTTATGACCTAGGTGAAAGTTGTGAAATTATCCACATTATTTTTTCAGAGGTGGAGCTAAGATCTACAAGACTAAAAAGAGACCAGCAGAAGGAAACTTATCAGGAACCCAGTCAAGGCCATTCCTGACCATATACTTAGGAACCAGGCATAAATGGAGAACAAGGAAATTTTGCTAAGGCCACAGATGTCAAAAAGATGAACTCACTGTTGCTGATAAGGTGACTGAATCAAGAACATAATGCCACCATGAAGTAACAAACAAATATAAAGACATAAAGTGTAACAGATAGGAGTTGGGAAGTGGATTTACCTTATATTTTAAATTAATCAAGTCCTCAGAGCATTTTATTTTGTCTTGACCCCTAAACTTCAAATGAATGTGGAGAACTTGAAGCTTGTCCAGAGAAATCTGGCACAACAACCAGAAAGACAGAACACAGATGGAATCAGAAGCGGTGAGAGGCTTAGTTAAAACAAGGTCAAAGGGCAGTAAGTAAACTGCCTTCAAGTACAGGTGTTTTATGTGAACTCTACTAAACAAACAAAAGGAAATTGATTAAATTAAAGCTGGGAATATTTCCTATGGACATAGGGAAGAACCTAAATATAGTATTAGTTTTCTAGGGCTTCCATAAGAAAATATTACAGACGGGTGGCTTAAATAACAAAAATTTATTTTCCAGTTCTGAAGGCTAGAAGTCCAAGATCGAGGTGTTGGCAGGTTTGGCTTCTTCTGAGACCAATCTCTACTTGGTTTGTAGATAGCTACCTTCTTTCTGAATCCTCACAAGATTGTCCCTCAGTCTGTGTTGTTTGTGTCCTAATCTACTCTTTATAACGACATCGGTCATATTGGATTAAGGCCCACCCTAATGATGCCATTTTAACCTCTTTAAAGGCCCTAACTCCAAAAAATACAGTCACATTTTAAGGTACTGGGCTTAGAGCTTTAATGTATAAGTTTTGGAGGGACATAAATCACCCCATAACAAATAGCAATATGAAAAGCCCAAGAAGCACTTAAGAAATTACAGTAGAGTCTCTTTTCCTGAAGATCCTAAAAAAGAAAGTAGAAATAATCTGCCCTAAATGATTTATTCATTTACATTCTTTAAGGCAGGGAACTTGCTGATATGATTTTTCAAAACCCATTTTAATGTAGCACCTGATTAGTGCAGAAGATATTTAAGAGGGCAGTATCAGGGTATGATGCATAGGGGAAAGCCGGAAGGGAGTTTTTCCAAGAGACCTCTGTGGATGGATGATATGGACTCCTTTGGTGAACTGCCAAGGTTCAGGGATCTGGCTCTTGAGCTCGTGTTCACATAAACCTAATTTTATCATCATACAATGAATATAATTACCTCTTGGGGTAAACTCTCATTAACCAAGCTCGTGAAACTGAGCACAATAAAGCTAAAATGAGAATTAATGAGTAACGTAACCATCACACACACCAGACTGAACTAATACATTTTCTTATTATAGCTAAGCTTCATGGGATGTTAATAAGATTGCTTGATAAAGATGAAATCAGAAGGATAGTCAGATGTAACAAAAGTTTAATGAGAACAGCTAATAAGCCTGATGTATCTGCTACTCATAGGGATGATTTTGCCAATAATATAATCAAAGTCCTTTTGATTCTGATTCACGGCATATGTGACAGCTATCAATTTATTGCCTCTTAGTTTCAAATCTACTCTTTATTGCCCTGTCTGTGATACTGGAGCATTTCTCTCTTGCCAGCTGACATAATGTGAGCTTTATCAGTAGAGGGTACTAAAGGGACACTGGAGGAAGAAGGGGCTTTTCTTCCTGGTTCTGGCATGTTCTTTCTGTGTTCTCCACTAGTGATTGTCATTAGGAAAATGAACCATGCCACAGAAGATAGCCGTCACCTCCATTCTTAACCCCAAATGGGTTGGGGTTTCTCACCTCTCTCCTGGAAAGGCTGGGGCTCCTGAGTCTCACTCTTGCACAGGCTCTCCAAACGCTGCAGCGGGCTACTCAGGGACTTCAGTGCTCCCATGGATGTCATTTCCTTCCAGATCATTTCTTGGCCATGAGCTGTGTCCTAGGAGTAATCAAGTACAGTACTATGATTCTCAGGATACACAAGAGGAAAACCCCTAGAGTAACAGGGCAGGACAGAAGTAATCAGAAACTCATTACAATGACTAGAGAGAAAACAACAGGACTAAAAGCTCTCGTGACTTGAACCCAGTGAGTGAATAATTCATAACCCTAAAAGACAGAAACTGCATAATTCTCTGAGGGCCAAGTCTATACCCTATAATCCTCTGAGGGCCAAGTCCATGCCACTCATAATTGCTTCTGCATTAACTTACAATAGGTCAAACCAACCAACACATCTACTTCTTACCTGTTGCCTTGGTTCATCGAGTTCTTTCTCCAGCTCCTCCAGCATAATCACGGCTTCCTCTCCATTCTCTGGCCGATGCTCTCGCACCCAGGCCTGCAGCTCGTCAGGCAGGATGGCCAGAAACTGCTCCAGCACCAGCACCTCCAGTATCTGCTCCTTAGAGTGGACCTCAGGCCTCAGCCACTGACAGCAAAGCTCCTGGAGTCGGTTCAGAGCCTCCCGGGGCCCGGTGGAATCAGAGTAAGCAAACTGCCTGAACTGCTGACGGAAGACCTCCTGGCTCCAGGGGTTTCCCTGAAAGCCAAAGTCTTGCCCCCAAACATAATTCTCTTCTTCAACTTTCACAATTATAAGTCCTTCTCGTTCTTTTGGAGCATGGTAGGCCAAGCCTGTGGCCTCTCCTGACATTCTCAGCAGAGACAGTCTGAAAAGGCTGCCCAGTAGACACAGGGATGGGATGGAGGTTTGTGTCTGAGGGATTCCTTCTGAATTCCAACTTCTCAAGGAGCTGCTGAGATGGACAATGCTCATGTTACACAAGGAAAACCAGGTGCTTAGAATATAAATACAGGATTTTGAACACCAGTTGCCAGGGAGTATAGCATTGGAAAGGAAACTAACTAAAAGAGAACTTCCATATAAAT